GCAATGAAGATGATTAATTAGTTTGATTAGAAGAAGTAAAAACGAATGAAAGGCAATACCTTACCTTAAATCACGATGAAGTGTCTGGAATGATCGATAAAGGAAATCGCCGTACGTATAGGCGATGTAAATAATTAATATTGAGCAAAGTACGTAGAAGGCAGGTACATTATTGAAGGTGATTGTGATCACCAGCAGTGCAATACTGACTGCGTCCTCGACACCCATAAAGCTCATCTTCGGCCACAGTCCTCTGTAATCAACATTCTCCATGCTTGTTTACAAACCGCGCAATTTAATATTGAACATGAACTCAACATTAACATATAGTAGTGACAGTCGTTTTGCTTAGGTCATTCAAATCTTCTGTAACGAACGTCATTGTTCCATCACATGAGCGTGTGTACCAATGCTGGACTTTATGGAAACCGAAGCTGACTAAAATCCACAAAGTCTAGGATTAACCCAGGAATATCCAAGAAAATACTTTGATATAGTAGATAGTTCGAGTCTGTTACAAAAATCTGACAATATAATGTAGCGAACTTGAAATTTGACCTCAGAACTTGTTCAAACTAACCAACATCCTGCAATCCTACATACTGCAAGCAATTATATAATGTTACTGGAGAACAGAAAGAATGCAGAATTAAAAGTCCTTTTGATGAATGAATTCCATCTTTTTTAGCAGAATAAATTCTCACAAACGTGTTTTTCCGTGCAATAAGCATACAAATCGAATTAAATGTAAGCGTTTCAATCGGTCACAAGAACAGAACTCTCAAAAAATTATATACTCAATTGGCATGTCTCAAAGAGGCGCGATCCTTTTGATATGTGAGGTGTGCAAATCAACAAACTTGTACCAACTGAAGTGAAGATTCAAAAGGCAAATACTAATTTAAAAAATCTCAAATAATTATTAAAAAACTCGCGAAAGCAAGTTTATCATTAATTTACTGAGCCCAAATTTACTGTCTGAATATATCGAATATATTATTTGCGTCATTTGCGTCAGAGAAGTTTTTTTTTTTCGACAAATTCAAAACAATTCGCTGAACCTGTTCTTTAGTCAAGAGTTCGTATTCAATTAATGCTTCGAAGGTTTCTTGAATGCAACTTCCTTACACAATAAGTCAAAATTAATTAGTTCCTTCTCTTATTTCCTGATTTTCTCTTGATTCCAATGTTCACTGACGGGTTGCGTGGTTGTTTTAATAATGTTATGCGAAAATAAATAATCTTAATAAAGCGTTCTCAGTTGTGGACGTGAATGACAGCCGGCAGCTTCGAAATCTTCTAAGTGCAAGAGAGTGCGATAATTATTCGCTAAACTTTTGATGTGCGTTTGTACTCGATGACAAATTTACATTATTTTGCAAAATAACTGACGAATGATTAATTCATAAAAACATTTATGGCGCAACTTTTTGCGTGTCCCTTTATTAAATCACTTCCATTATCACAGCAAGAAGAATGTCCTAACATTCACACATTGTAATGTGACGACTGTATCGTTTGCAATGAGGTACAAAAGTGTTGCGAACGAAAGAACCGGAATGAGCATGCATCGGACAGGTGGAACATACACACTTCGAAGAATGAATAGATGGATAATACAAAACACTGTTTGTTGAGAATGATATCGATGTTCAAAGCAAATTGCTTAATTTTTTTCTTCTTTGAATGCATGATATTTTGCAGTACACAAAAAATTTATTAATATCATGTTGAATATCACATTTAGATGAGAACACGTAAGAAAATCAAGCTCTGCACACGGCTTGTCCAGTGTTTCAGAGCCAATGCAAACATTTTATGACTTCAGTGTGAAGGGTAGTTTCTGATAAATGGCTAAAAAAGGTTAACTCAGCCATACCCGTCTCAATTAGTATTCAAATGAGTTTCAGCAGCAATATGACTATTGCAAATCATCTTTAAGTATGCGTTTCATATTTCCGAAAAATGGTAACTGTTGGCGAGGGATGAAACAGCCTTCAGAAGGCGGCTTATTTGAAAACTTTGTTGGTGTGAATAATACTGATGCAGATGTGCAACAGAAGTTTGGTCGAAATAACGCATTTGGTGTGATGAACGTTAGTGGAGGAGATTGTACTCGCTCACGATTCGGTTTTCCGAACGAAAAAGTGAGAATTTTCGGTGATGCAAATACTTCAGGTGGACAATCGATTAAATTTAGAAAGTGAAAGGAGTGAGCATTCCATAGATGTGTGTTTGTTGCTTTATTAGAGGTGTACTTCTCGCAGAAATGCTCACAAGTAGAAACAAATGTGTGAAATAAGTGATCGAATAATTGGACGTACTTGGCGGGCAATCTGACCAAATTCGAGAATGAGAGTCGCGGTTTCGAGACCGCATCTTGCGGATTCACCATAGCGATCAAGGAAACGTTCTCTGAAGGGCGGCTCTATCCGCGTCAGAAAACCTGAATTAACACAACAAGATCACCTCGAATGCTTTTTGATGAATTGAATTTATTGCATTGCACGGAAATCGAATATGAAATATGCGTGATAATTCAATCCATAAGATACGACCGTTATCAGCAGTGAATTGGTAAAATATGACCAATTAAAGTGACCACTTCGAATAGCACAAATAACGAGTTTGTTGAAGGCAAAAGATGTGAAATCATATGAAGGTCATAATAGTTCTTGTATAATAACAATATGATGAGATAAAAACAGTGTTGGCATTAATAACTGATTGCAGTGATGTATTGATGAAGTTTTCACGACGAACAATAGCTCAACGGCGTATGTTTTTAGCCGACTAAAAGCTAAAGAAAACAACTGGAGAATAGTTTGTGAAGAAATACCTCATTAGTAATCCTCGAAATTGTACGCAACGGATTTATCAACTTCCAATGTAAAGTAATTAAGAAGTGTTGTGTGAGGAATGTCAAGCAAAAAAAGTGCCCAAAAGAATCACAACTCTAACAGTGTCCTTTCAAGAAAGTAACTCAATTAGCATTAAAAAGTCCCTATTCCGTAGCGATTCCTCTGCCAGNACACAACCGATGATCGCAAAGAGTTCAGTTTTAAGTGCTATAAGTTTTCAACAAAAACCAGTTTAAAGCCGAATCAAAATCTCACGTGATGCGTTTATGTGTCAAATCCAATTGAGCGTTAATCAAACAAACTTTTTTGATAATCAATCTGAACGAAGACGATGATAGTGATACAACTAGTTCAGCACATGGAAATATCATCAACTTGAAGATGGTTGCATGGTTGCATGAAGATGGTTGCATACGTCCAAGTAATATTGCCCTAACATCGCAATGCGTTGAAAGAGCAAACGAGTTTGGTTATTTTCTTACGATTTTGGATATGATCATCAATCATTAATTAATAAAACTGAATTCCACTCAGATTGTTTCTTGAGGTTCTTTTGCTGGAAACCCATTTGAAACTGACTGCTAATTTCTTATTTTAAGCCGGCACACGTTTTCAGAAGTTCGATCCACGATTCACTGTCAGTAGCTCTGGTATATTCCATAGAAGAGATCTGCGAGATTGCTTAGAGAGCAGTCAGTGAAGAGATTCGCTGGTGGAAAGAATGATAAGAGTTCACGGGAAAATCCTTCGAAAAAGAATAAAAAATTGCAAATTTCATCGAAAACGAACGAAACATAAATGAAAAAGTATTAGCTGGATGCGTTACAATGAAATATCACTAATAAACGGTAAAATAAGTGGTTGGACGATAGTGGAAAATATTCAGGTTAAGTGTATTTTTGATCGTTTTAAAGTGAAAATTATAGGTGATCGACGATTCATTCGTTATTCATATTAATCAGCATTGATGAGAAATTATTTGAAGATGACCTGCAGAAAGCCGAATCACATCATTTGTGATAGAGAGAAGTTTTTTTGTTAAATACACTTAACGAATGGTTGAATTGCGCATTGAAGAAATTTCGAATAGCGATTAACCTAAATACTAAGGCACAATTAAGAATAATAATCTTTTCAAGTGATAATTGCTGAATATTTTGATACTTTGTAAAACATCAATACCATTTAGAGATTTTCAACTTTGGAACAGGTTAGTGAGAAAAATCAACTGAACGTGGTCGAATCAACAATGTACTGTCGAGATAAGAAATTACAACATCCTTAAGGAGCGATTGAGAGGATGACATTGAAGTGATGGTGTTTTACATACGTTGAAAAGTTCGTCAACGACTGATGATGCTAGAGAGAATTTGCAAAATAAATTGTTCTTGTGGCAATGCTATATAAAAGATTCATGATTCTCAATTGCTGAACAGAGTGTACAAACATTCAGCAAGCAATAGTGATGATGAAATTTTGGTGCATTAATAATAAGTTTTAAGTGGAATGCTATTCATTCAATATCCCCGAATTGCGGTCATCTGGAGAGCAAATGGCTTTTTTGATAGATTCATCAAAATCGCATTGCACCGCGTGCGCTCTACAAACAATGCGATAGTCAGCACGTAAAAAACCGTACGGTGTACGAACACTCAAAAGGATGCACTTCAGACCCGACGGGTCAAAATGTAAGCTTGCGAGCCGGTCTCAGCCCAAGTCCAAGCCTAATATAGGGGGATGGATTCAAAATATATTCGTGTATGCTGGTGAAGCAGCGAGAATGTTGGCATTACGAAACACAAATGCTGTTGTAAAATAAAGAACATTCAGCAGACGCACATCATGATAGTTCTTTTCTTTCAGCAAGTGTGAGGAGAGGAAAGTTTTGAAAAAACGATTGGATGCCGAATTTATACTTGAAATGGTAAGAAGTTCAGAACTAACGATAAAATTCATAAAAACGTCATTTTAAAAAAATTCATTAAAAAAACGTCGACATGATGCAACATTATCAATCTGGAATGAGATTTCATTACAAACACGATCGCAATGTGGAAGGAAGTGCACGTAACTTGTATTCAATTCAGTGCTTCTTGGTTCCACCGAACATATTTTGATTGTATCTATTCACATTCACTTTCATCGATGGAAATTCTTCGGATGTACCTGTGACACAATATTACTCAAGTATCTGCATGCTTCGATGCAATGATAAGCAGAAACAATTGAAGAAATAAGTCAATTTATTAATGTGAGATTGAGTCAAGGCTAGGACTGGGAGTGCTGGAAACTTCGTGAGGCTTGAGGATTCCCGATTCAACCTTACTCCAACGTATGGCAAGCTGAGCACATTCTATCATGCTAGATGTGATAATC